TAAGTGTATAAATGACTTGTGAATTTAGTGTCATCTGTATTATTTCCTTATAAAAATCAGAGGATTCCCCCCAGTAAATGACAACTTTGTAAAGTGTTATGCTAATTATGTGTACATCTATATATATATATATATATATATATATATATGCGTGCGTGCGTGCACACACACACACACAACATAAAAGCATGTCCACAGTTTTCCTGTTGGTTAGCAATTGTACACATGATGTTCATCACACCAATGTATACCATGTGACATTTCACTCATAAAGCCAGCACTAGCTTTTAAAATGTTCTTGATGTGCATGATGCAGTCGGTTGTTTTCGCTATACGGGAAAGTCGTGCGAGTATGATTATTGACTGAAAGAAATGTAATGGAAGTTATAGAAGATAATGAAATTAACAAAACAAACTCTTCAAAGACATGACATTTATCTTTCAGTTGGTGAAGTGTCATTTTATTACATCTTTAACTGTGGATTAGTTCTGGGTAACTTTGAAACATTAAAACATGGTATTGAATGAATGTTGCTCAAAATAATTCAGAAAATTCATGGAATTTTTTGTATTACCTTGTAACAACAGTTTCTGAGAAATGTTTAACATTTTTATACCAACATTTTGTGGTTAAATTATCCCCTGTTTATTTTTAGTTGGTGACAACCTTGGGTGTTTTGGTGCTAGTAAGAAGAAGAAAGAAGCACAAAACCTAGAAAAACAAAAGAAAGAATTGATGGCTACAAACATGCCAAGACCCAATTCTCAGCCTGCACGAGGAATGGAGTTGCTTTGGCAACCAGAAATAGTTCATTCCTACCTGTCCTTGCTATCTGAATGTTCAAATCCTGAAACTTTAGAAGCAGCAGCTGGAAGTATCCAGAACTTAGCAGCTTGTTATTGGCAGGTATGATTCCATATTTATTCAGAAACAGAATAGTCTAGTCATCTGTTGCCTTAGAATGTCTTTTATCTAAGTAGCTAGCTTGCTGTAATCGGAAGTTAATATTAGTTTAGAAAGGAAGAGAACCTGTGTATGTTTGTCTGTGAGAAGTGATTATGAAATTTCACAATGAATACAGTAAGTATCTGCTACTTTAAAGAAACGTTTTTGTGTCTTTATAATCTTGTTTTCTCATGAATAGGTAAGTTATTGATTACACACACACTTTGATATACCTCTCCATCTATCAAACAAGGTACAAAATACATAGCATGAATGGTACAGTACATTTTAGCAGTAGAGAAGTAGAAGTAAGATTCCACAGCTAGGAGATTTAACTTTTATTCCAAAAGTTTGCTTGCAATAATAGACTAATATCTTTATTTGATCCTGATTATAATTTCTATAGTCCACTAGTTCTCACCTATTTGCCATTTACAGCCAATAGTGAAAAAGGAGTTAATTCTGTTAATATTTACAGCCAATGGTGAAAAAGGAGTTAATTTTGATCATATTTACAGCCATCAGTGGAAAAGGAGTTAATTTTGATCATATTTACAGCCATCAGTGGAAAAGGAGTTAATTCTGATAATATTTACAGCCATTAGTGGAAAATGAGTTAATTCTGATAATATTTACATCCATTAGTGGAAAAGGAGTTAATTCTGATAATATTTACATCCATTAGTGGAAAAGGAGTTAATTCTGATAATATTTACAGCCATTAGTGGAAAAGGAGTTAATTCTGATAATATTTACAGCCATTAGTGGAAAAGGAGTTAATTCTGATAATATTTACAGCCATTAGTGGAAAAGGAGTTAATTCTGATAATATTTACAGCCATTAGTGGAAAAGGAGTTAATTCTGATAATATTTACAGCCAATAGTGGAAAAGGTGATAATTCTGATAATATTTACAGCCAATAGTGGAAAAGGTGATAATTCTGATAATATTTACAGCCAATAGTGAAAGAGGAGTTAATTCTGATAATATTTACAGCCAATAGTGAAAGAGTAGTTAATTCTGATAATATTTACAGCCAATTGTGAAAAAGGAGTTAACTCTGATCATGCTCTAACTCAGCAAATCTTCTATAAGTGTGTGGGTATGTACTTCTGAAAGTGGATAATGTTTAAAATCCAAAATAAGAGTAATTATTGAAATGTAAACCCAGATAAGAGTCGAAGCCCTACCACTGTTGTTATATGAATGTACGTTTACTTCAACTACAGTATTCAACATTAGCTTGAGTGCGTAACTAGAACTGTACTTGCTGATATCTTACAACTAAAAAAAAACTGATGATCAAATTAAAATTCTACAACCAATTCCAAAATTGTGATGATTTTTACCTGTTTTTTATATTCTCAACACACTGACACACAGCCAAGCATAGACATTAGAGCAGCTGTAAGGAAGGAAAAAGGGTTACCAATTCTCGTGGAGCTGTTACGGATGGAAGTTGATAGGGTTGTGTGTGCAGTTGCTACTGCTTTACGAAACCTTGCTATGGACCAAAGGAACAAAGAACTTATAGGTAAAAAAAAATTTTAAATGTGTGTTTTTATTATAAAATTACAAACTAAGAAAGAGTGGAATTGTAAAGTTTATCATTAACATTTCTTCTAGCAATGTTAAGTATTAAAAAAAAAACTGAGGCCACAGTTTTAATTGATATTATTGGTTATGTTGTTTAAAACACCAGTGAATATTTAAAGTTTTATACTTATCTAGTTCATTTTTAAATTGTGACCTAGGCATATGCATTTTTGACTAAACTAATATCTGGCTGAATTTTGGGAGATGTTATTGGAATTATAACTGAAAATATTGTTCACAAGGAGGGTATCCAATTGATGATTCAATGAGTTGTAATCCTTATATGTTTTGTTTTCTTGTGTGTTGATTTATGATGTATGTTGCTTCTTGTTAGTTTTATATAAATTTGGCTTCTTTAAGTGATGGACTACTTTTTTGATCAGAAGTTATTAGTAATTTGAAAGCAAAAATTGTTTACACTAAAATATTAAAACTGTTAAGAAAAAATGGTGGTCATGTTTGATAGATAAGTGAATATACAAGCAGTTTTATTTATTTCAAAAGAATACTTTTTTAAATGTCCATACAAAAGTAATTGCATTATTTGGCTGTGTAATATAATTAACTAACTTTATTGTTTAGGATATTCAGCTTAAACTTCAATAGATTATTTGTTAAAATTTCTTTGCAATATATTATTTTTGGTTAAGTGTAATAATCTGACATATTGTATAAAAAAACAGGATGAGAAAAGAACTGGTAAAGTTTTTGATGTTTTCCAACCTAATGAAAATAACCTATTAATTTTTGTTTACATTTTAACAACACGATCAGCCAGTACCCAATTGAAAAAAAAATTAACTCAAGATAACATGTCTTTTTTTAGGGAAATATGCCATGCGAGATTTGGTTCAGAAACTTCCAAATAGTAGCTCTGCCCATGATGCTGGTACATCAAATGAAACAGTTGCTGCTGTGCTTGCAACGCTGAATGAAGTAATTGTGAAAAACAGTGACTTTGCTCGGTCTTTGTTGGAAGCAGGAGGGGTGGAGAGGTTAACTTACATAACAAAACAACGAGGGAAATTTTCCCCTCGGGTAGTCAAGTTTACTGCTCAAGTAAGTATGTGTGTTGCTTGTTAAAATGGTAGTTCTGCTCTAAACTACTGATAAGGTATTTTCTGTTTTTTTATTTTTATCTAATTTATGATTACACTGTCTTAAAATCAAATTGATTGATGTTAAGTATTTTAGTTTTTCCTAATTTGATTTTGTGAGAAAACATTACCTTAATGAACTCAAAATGCATTTTAACAAGGGCAAACAGTAATCTTTCAGTGGTTATAAATTGCACTGTTTTACATGGCAACGTACTAACAGTAAAAAGATGCCGAATAAACCTTTTTTATATGATAAATAAACCTGTTTTTTCTAAATGTGTAATATTTGTGTGCACATATTTCTTAGTGATTTTGATTAGCTAGAAATACTTTATAAGTAATCCATTTTACCAAGCCAGTTTCCTCATCAAGCTGCTCCACTCCCAATTCGTAATTCATTCCAGCTCCCTTTGATACATGAGAAAACAAGTTTTTAATTTTTGAAACTGTATCTTTCTCTGTATTTGACCATTTTTATTTACATCTAATGTGAATTATGGCATTTTGTTTTTTCTGTCTGCCATTACTCTATCAGAATTAGTGTCACTTGTTATACTAACGATTTTACAATGATTAATTTTTGATTATATTTTAAACAGAATTAGTGTCACTACTAACGACTTTACAGTGATTAATTTTTTGATTATATTTTAAACAGAATTAGTGTCACTACTACCGATTTTACAATGATTAATTTTGCGATTATATTTTAAACAGAATTAGTGTCACTACTAACGATTTTACAATGATTAATTTTGCGATTATATTTTAAACAGAATTAGTGTCACTACTAATGATTTTACAATGATTAATTTTGTGATTATATTTTAAACAGAATTAGTGTCACTACTAACGATTTTACAATGATTAATTTTGTGATTATATTTTATACAGAATTAGTGTCACTACTAACGATTTTACAATGATTAATTTTGTGATTATATTTTATGCAGAATTAGTGTCACTTGTTATACTAACGATTTTACAATGATTAATTTTGTGATTCTATTTTATGCAGAATTAATATCACTTGTTATACTAATGATTTTACAATGATTAATTTTGTGATTATATATTCTAGTTGCTTTACAACATGTGGCAACATCAAGAGCTGCGAGAAGTGTACAGAAGATCAGGTTGGAAAGAAACTCATTTTATTACACGCACTATGGTTGCTCGTAGTTCTGCCTCTCCTACTGGCAGCACTAATAGCACTCTTAGTCGACCAATTAGCACACAAGGTGGAACCAAGTATGAAGATAGAACACTTCCACGTGGAGGACAAGGTAAACAGAAAATGGTGTATAGTTTTATAGTGCATTTGGATATACTGCTGAAAAAGTAAAGAGCTGTAAAATAAAAAAAATGAAGTAACTTTTTTTTCAGTTGGTTAATATAAAATGCACAACCATTGTTGATGCCACAACCCTTAGTTTAAAAACATTATGTAAAATCAACAAATGATTATATGTATAACAATGTAACTTAATTGTGTTAACTGCTACTCCACATGCATTTTTTTGTAACTCGACACAACTGTTCATCATTTCCAATAAACCAAAAAGTATGAGCTAAAGTATGAGTTGTGTTCTTTTTTACAGTTATGAACTACAAAAGAGTGTTACCATGTAGTGTCATTATTTATGTTCTGTCACATTAATAATTGTTAGAATTATTAATAAGCAACACAACAAACAAAGTGGACAATTTTTAATTAACATGTTACAGGGTACAAGTAGTAGAAATGTGTAATAATAATTTCACCATATGAAACATTCAGCTATAATATTTCAGGCTTGATGGTTACTGGATACACTACTAATAATCTACTGATTTTGGGATCAAAATCCATTGCTGACTGTGCTCACTTTTTCAGCTGTGAGGGTGTTATGATATGGTGGTCAATCCCACTATTTGTGGGTAAAAAAGTTGCCCAAGAATTGGTGATGAATGATATCGACTAGCTGTTCATCTTGTCTATCGCTTTCAAATTAAGGACAGCTAGTGCAAAGAGCCCTCTAGTAGCTTTGCACAAAATTCTACAAACTATAATACTTCAACTAAGAACTTGAGTGTTGAAATCTCTGATCTATTTATAGATCAGTGGTTGAAACCCAGTTGACCTGGGTTTTAGAACTGAGAAAAATGTTTGTTGACTGGAGCTTCCAACAAATGGAGGAAAGTTCCAATCATAAACATACGGAAACCTTGAATTAAAACGAAGCATTTATGTTTCAAATTTACACAATAACCTTCCATTATATGTTTCTTCTTATTTTTATCTAGTGTATCAGCATTAGGCATGTTTGTATTGAAAGTTGGGTTTGTTCTGAGCCAGTGCATTAAATGTTAAAAGAACTGAAAGTAAATCCACTTACATTAAGAAATATATTTTTTCAAAAACAATTGTATTACATTATGTAGCATCAAGTGTAAGATTGAAATATGTATATGATAGTATTTTTGTAAATTGTTTTTACAAGCTTTTTTAATTATGAAATAATGTTAAACTGTTGTATATGCTTTAATAATTAAACATAATTACTAAACTAAAACTGGAATTAGATCAGATCATCAAATTGGTATAAAGACAACTATTTTTAATTCAGAATCTGTCAGTAATTAAACAGATATGATTTTTAAGGATTATAATTATGAAGCTAGAAGACAATCTTTCAGGAACAAATGTTAGTGTTAGTGCTTTGATACAATCGATTCTTAACAATGGCTTTGAAAGATATTCGTTAAACTGTTAACTTTTGGTTAACATGAAGCTCTGTTCTATTGGTAAATAAGACTGGAGGAAGAAAATTTGTGTTCTTCGTTAGTTTTTCTTTTATTGGCCTAAATTTGTGTGATTTAATTTAATGAGTAGGGTTAAAGAATAATGTTAAATCATTTTATTTTTTCTTTCTTTCAGTGGGTGTGTACAATCAGGTAATAATATAATTTTGTAATAAAGTACACTGAAATTTTACTTTTAAGTTAAATTTAATATATAGCTTTAAGAACCTACTTACACAATCAGAATCTTTATTAATTACTGTCCACACATCTTAATGTTAGTAAGAAACATTCTTATCAGTTGACTATTTAAAACTATTGTAGCTGGAAATGAACATATTCTTGTGTCATATAATTTACAAGTCATGGGTAAAGTAACTAAGAAAACCTGCTACAGTGAAAATTAATCAATTAATTACATAGTTTAGATTAAAATATTTAAGTTAAACTTATAAATAATATTATTGTGTTTGAATTGTTTTTTGTTTGTATTCATAAGAATAGTTTGTGTGTTTTATTTAGGCTGAAGAGTACCCAATGAATGACCTAGCCCATCCTATTGAACTTCCACACCACCGGCCACCTGTTGGAGGAGTACCTATTTATCCACCTGCTCCAGTGAGTTACTGACTCATCCATATGTACATGTTTACTAAACTCTTACTCAAGCCACATTAAGATGCTATGCCTAAACTAGATTATTTTCATTGTTTAAGCTGTATAATTAAAGCTGTGTGCGTGGAGTAAACCAAATGTACAGTGAAACCTGAATTATATGCTAACCAATCTCGGCTGACTTCATGTACTTTAAGTAAAATTGTAAGTGGTAAAGCTGATAACAAATATTGTAATTGTAGTTATTAATATATTCACTAACCATTAAACTAAGTACTTGTGTTTTAAAATCTAGGTCATTAGATATAATTTTGAAAGATGATTGAGGTTTCATTATATAAGTACTGCCGTAAAGTTTCCATCTGTGTTACTCCAGTTATACAGGAACATTTGAAAAAGGATGACTACTCTTTCCAAACAGTAGTATCCAATGCTTATGTACGTTACAGTGATGAATACACAATCAGATCTGTATTATCAAACAGTTTCATAGCTTTTTAAATATGCCTAGAGATGCAGTAAATTCTGAGTATCTCATAACAGTAATTTACACAAATTAATGTGTGTGTCTAATTAAGACTATATTTTAATTAAAAGAAAATAATAGGGTACAAAATGAACTAACCATTATGGAAAATGTAAATAAGTAATTAAAAAATACATCCCATATCAATGTCTGATTAGTTCTGTTAAATATTTAAACTAGATATATACTGATAATAAAAACAATTAGATTTCAAATGTTTCCTGTTTTTATCTGTCATTATTATGCCTTTCTCACCTCACTCTTAAGTTAGTACTATGCACTGTTCTCATACCTAACATATTTTATTTGTCTTAGCCTCCACCTCATGGCTTCTAGTCTTGCTTCCAAGTCACTTTTAAAATACTGATTTTGGTGGGTGGTTTTTCTCTTCATGTCTTGTCTGTTTGTTGCATGACAGTAATAAGGAATAACTATCAATGGCAAATGGTTACCTCAACCTGCAATAGTTTTGGTAGACTTTATTAGCAGTACAGTGTAGTCTCAATTATTTATTTGTCTTGCGCTTCGTGTTATTTCAGTTCTAGCTTGTATCATTTTCTTGAGAGGTCAGGCATATTTTTTTGTTCCCATAATGTTAAGGGTTCACTTTGAAACTTGTGCTGTATTTCTTCTTAAATATTATAGTTGTCATATCCTCCCCAAAATTTTTTAATAGCATATGTTCTACAAAATTAAAAAATAATTCCCTAAAGATTTATCTTTTCATTAGACTCTTAAGTTTAAATTAAAAAGTTAGCAGGAAAATGGCTTTATTATATAAAAAAAAGTTAAATTTTTCACAGAAAAAATATTCATAACTTGTATATATTTCTTGATCTAAAAAAAATTAATCTAAGGTATTCATTAAAACAACTGAAAACTAATCTTAGAGTAACAGGAAATAAATATTTGTCATAAAATATTAAGCCTAATGATTCCATTGCTTTGCCAGCTATTAGCATTTAATATTGTAACTGAAGAAGTAATGCTAATATAGATATTTTTAATTGATGTTTCTTGCTCCAATCCTCTTTTCTATCTCAAATCTACGCATCAAACTCATTTGAAAGTAGAGTTTACAGCTAAAGTCTAGTTTAAATCCACATAAAAGGGGTAATGTGGTAGAATGTAGATGGAATCTAGCTAACAAACAATACTTAAATTCTAAATTGAGAAAAATTTCTTGATCTGTCAAATTAAATAGCTCTAAAACACTCAAAAGAAAATACTTGAAGTTATTATAATATTAGAACCAGTATAAAACAAGTTAGGCCTGTTAATAAATACTAACATACTTTGTTTTAGCATGTAGATATGAAGAAAATCCGATTAATTTTGTAATAAGAAACATTCAGTTTTATGTTGTTTTTTCATATACATATAGATTTGTATCAAAAACAAAATATTGGGTTTATGAAATTGGCTTAATTTGAACTTACAAGGTTATTATTTGAAAAGCAGTCCTTGAGATTTGTGTTCTTGAAGTTTGTATGATGTGTGTATAAGATAAACTTCAATCGAAATTTCTTTGTCTTAGATAAAGTTTTTGCACATATCTTACGATCTCTCTTGATTATTACTTTTTTGCTAAAAGTGCACAAGAAAAATATTAATTGTTAAAAAATATAAAATGTTCATTTACATCGTAGTAGCTTCTTAATCTATAAATAAATCAGCTAGCATCAGTGAATATTGCATTCCTAAGTCAGTGTTTATCTGATTATCATGCATGTGAACCTATAAAACATTGGTTGCTTCTAAAGTGATCATTGAAACAAAAACAAATGTCTTCCTAAAAGAGTGCTATGGTGATCCTTGTGAGTCTGTTTTTCTGTTCTGGTTAGTTTGAGTTCTAAGCAAAGATTGAATGTTGGTAATGTAGCTTATTCCTTAGTTCTTTGTTTGTATTCTTTGAATTCAGTAAAATAATGAAAAATTAATCAGATTTGCTTTAACAGTTGAAATACATAGTAAAATTTTTAATTTTCTACAATGTTTCAAACTTAGATGAGATCCCCTGTAGAGCCTCTTTATGCCCAAGTTAATCGTGACAAGAAGAAGAACCGCCATCCTGACTCGTCTTCCCAGTCCATGTTACTTGATCACCAGGGGGCGCCAGCAGGAGACTCCTGGGTGTGACCATCTGATTGTCAGTTTGATAACTGGTGTCTGTGAACTTCCTTTAATTTTTCTAAACTGTGGCAGCTACTCTAAATGTCATCTCTTCCTCCTCATGGGCCATTGCATAATTCTTCAGTGTATCTGGAGCTTAAACTGTTGGAGTTAATGCCCCGAATTGAGAGTGAGAGAGAAAAAAAGTATTTTAAAGCATTCATGGAAAATAATTTTTTTGTTTGTTTTAATGTCAATAAGATGTAAAAGATGCAGATTCACAAAGCTTAATGTGGGTTTTAACGTAGGTACTAATTGCATCAGTTTCAGGACTTGAATTGTGAAAAATATTAGCCAGATATAGTTTTTTTTTTCTTCTTAGAAACTGTGACATTTAATTTTCCTTTCAAAAATAACATCTCTTACAAAAGTTAAAAAAATCTAAAAAAAAAGGCCCATTAGCAACTTAAAGAATGACAAAGTTGAACAGATTAACTTAGGACCTTTATACCCATGGGAAAAGTACCCCAATAGATTAAAACTCAATGACAATGATGTTTTGATTGTATTCTTATTTAACCTGCAGCTGTTTGGTTATTAAACCAGAGGTGTTTTTTTATTAGGCTTTTACCAAAGATGTAGTCCTTCGAGGGCAGATACTATACGAGGTGGTCCATCAGTACGTGGTTTTATAAACCTGTGACGTAAAACAGCTCTTAAGAAGAACTATTTGATATGTTGGTTAAAGAATGTTTTATAGTTTAAAAAGGTTTTTGTCACTGTGTCATGTATTCCACTTTAGTTTAATTCTTAAGCCTAATGAAAACTCGCAGACTAGTGGAAAAAAAAAAAGTAGGAGTTAATCTCGGGCAAATTGCTCAAGCGTATCCGTTTCTTTGTTGATCTTATGTTAACTTTTTATTATTCATTTTGAACCTTCACAATTGTATGAATCTCTCAACACAAGCATGATAAACTTTTAATATTTGATTTTGGAGAAGTGTTTCAGATAACAATTTTTGTCTGGGTAGCTTTGGAGAGTTTGCCTCTAGAAATGTTTAAGCCTAGTCATACAGGAGAAAAAGCTAGTTTAAACTGCTGCAAGGTGAAATTGGAAATAGTTTATTGCAACACAAAGCTACTAGTATTTTATGTCCATATGTTTGTATGTGTGTTCCAACAGATTAATCAAAACCTTGTAAAGCATGTGAAAATGTAAGATTATTTTTTTTCCTGTCATAATCATTTTGAAATTATATTTTGGTTAATTAAATTAGATTGTTTTAAAGTTGAACATGCCAACAAGACAGCCTGAACATCACCTTTAGTTTTATTAAAAAAAAAAAAAGTTGGCTAATATTTATAATTCATTATTTTACACATTCCAACATTTTTTATAATGCACGTTTTTTTTTTTAAACCCATACTGGAAAATATGGTCTTTTTGAATGAGACTTGATGGATAAAACATCTTTAACATCTCTTGGCTAATTCAAGTCCTTTGTGGAGTGTACCCAATTACTAATTCACAGGGGAGGTTTCCTAATCTATGATAGAAACATTAAAAAAATGAAAGCTGAAGCTTACTAGTTAAAGTTAGCTGTTTTTGGAACAAAGAATTTAAACTTGTCTACCTAAAGGTTCAGAAGTAGTAAAATGAAGTGAAGGTGTTTTGTTACTTCCATAAAAAGTAATTTTTTGAAAGTTCTGACTAGTGATGACTAACTGAACTGAAGGATTTGTCTGATAAATGGAAGAAGAAGCTAAGGAGGAGTGATGAGGATCCAAAGTATTGTATATTTGAAGTGTCTGTTTAGAAAAAATGATTTATTTTGCAGTGCTATTACTTTTCACATTGGATGTCTTGTTATCGATTTTTGTGTAACTTTTTGTATTCACCATCACATATAAAATGGCAGATTTTAATGTATAATGTACCAATAAAAAATCCTTACTCAATACTTGTTGATGGCTCTAGAACAAACACATCGAACTGAGAACGATTAAAAATATACACGACTTTAAACAGAACTGGAGTAAACGTAGGGACCTGCTCAAACTGGTTAATGGAATGTAAACACAAGTTGGTAATAATGAAAGTATTGTATGTCACAAAGAAAAAGCGTCGGACCACAGGGGCTCCAGCCCCCTAAATGTTTTGAATCTAGTATTGATATTACTTACTTGAGACCCTCGCTCTAGAAAGGTTTCCTATACAGAGGCATACCAAGTTCCGGAACAGCAAAGAAAATATGACTGTCACTTAATTAAACATCCTAGTTCAGGGTGATTGATAAAGCAATAAAGGGTCTCAGTATCACGAAACACAGACATAATCTTGTAACTTCCAAAAACAAAACACGACGGAAACAAACGCTGTTTACCCAGAACAGGCACTAAGAGAGTTACAGAAACTTTTCATTCCATTCTAATGACGCTGTATTCTTATTCAGATAGAAAAGTATGTTTAACACATGATTTTCTTAGTGCGATACGTGAGCACGAACGCACTTTGCGTTCAAACTTGACGTATGAAAACGCACTTCAGCTTTAAAACCACACGAAGTAGGGAGAAAAGAAATCCTGTAGGTTAAATTATTTTACTGAACATTACAAAGTGATATGACTATAATTGTTCTTGATAATATTTCAGTGGTCAAACCAAATTATTTCTGACGACTTACTGGAACAAACGCGTCTACTCATAAAAGCCTATTTGTCTAAATATATATTTATTTACGAGTTAATTACATTTTTACGTCATCGTACTTGTATTGCATTTTCATACACGTAGAAAAGTATTAATTAAACATGCTTTTGTTTGGTCAGACGCGGACGTGTAGTGACAGTATAAAAAGTGGTAAAAAAAAAACTTCTTTTAAGCCTAGAAAACTGACGCTTTTTTTTACGAAAAAATGAAGGATGAGGTAATTTTTTTAATGACGTCTTTTAAAGAAAGTTTGCACCCCATTTTTCATGTTTGTTGTTTGTTTTCACAGGGTACATGTCAAACTGTGTGTGTGTGTGTTTGTCCAGATCTAAAAATCGATCTATATCATTTCCCGGGAGGTACATGACAATCGGTCCAGCGATTCGAAAATTATTAGCGGACACACACACAGACTTATCAAATAATGGTTCATATGCAGATTTCTAAGAAGCTCGGCAGTATATAAGTAGTGTCGTCATTTCAGTAAATTTTGCTTCGAGGGGGGGGGGGGGATTGGACCCGAATTTCTACAACATACATGAACTGTTTATGATGTAACATGCTCCCGAGTTCATACATTAATTGTAATAACTACACAAATACAAGGGGGTGGTGTGTGTGTGGTGGGGGGGGGGTTATGAGGAATAAAAGAAAACATAAATGTCTACTTTGTATGAATTACAGTAATTTCCAATAAACCATACGTTTTATATTTCTCCAAAAAAAATAAGACTTGGATGGGGCCATTGTATGTAAGGACAACATATTTCACCCTAACAGATATTTTTTTTAGCTGTAAATGTACTTTTAACGCAGTGTGCGTCTGCGTTAAAGTGTGGACCAAGAGAGTATTTTATACAAAATTCGATTTCCGTAAAAGGTTGTACTGTTTGGAAAATTAAGTTTCAATCTGAGGTTATGTTCCTCGAGATGATAAGTTTTTGAATTTCGTTCCACTACACACACACACAGTGAGCTAAAATAACTACTTTGTTGGTACCCACCACAAAAAGCACCAGTTGCTTTAGGCCTTTGAACTTAACACCATTTTCTTCTCGTAGTATAAAAACAAATGATGAGAAGTGTCGTGAAAAATGGAGAAGAAAAATTAAATGATCAAATATTTATTTGGATGATTCCATAGAGCGTGTTCCATGAGGTAGGCACATTTAGGAGCTTACCTAATTATGTTTTTTTCTATTGTTTTGCTTTCTATAGATTAGGATTTTTGATAACGCATTCCGTGCTTTTCCAAGTTTGAGTATAGATAGCCCGAATGTTGGCTCCACACTTTAAAATTCAAGTGTTGGACTTGACGCTGAAAGCTTTGAAGAATTCGATTTTTTGTTATCGTGTTGCCAATCTTGCTACACATTGTTGTTTAGTGTCACCAAATGCAGAGAAAATCTCGAAGTTTCAAACCTTGGCTGCTTCCTATGTAGACAAATAAACTATGAACTTGTGGTTTCTGAATGCACGTTGTTTGCACGGTCAGTTGCAGAAAACATCCAGCCTCTCAAACTGAAAAGAATTCGTCAGATTTACTTGTACGTGGTAAGGTAGGGCTCACAGAAATTCACCCAACCTTCAACTTCCTCCTCCTTGCTTGATTTTATTTCTTTCAGTAACATCTTGTTCTCGTGATCACTCCTTTCCTGCGTTAAAATTTGTGAAGAGCAAGCTACGTAAAAAAGCGCCACGACAGAGCAGTGACTTGATGATGCTGTCGGTTGTGTCGGAACGGATGAATTCGTTCAAGGCTGATATTATTCATGATAGTTTCTGCATGGATTCACTTTGCTCTGGATTCGATGAAGATGGTTAATAACTTGTCCATTTTATAATGTTTTCACTGTGGATAGTGTTCAGATGTTGTGTTTTTTTACCATCTGTACATGTATACCAGAGTACCAATGTCAGTAATAAACATTACTGTCGTTTAACGTCACTAGGGTCACATTTGCTAATGTGCACTAGATGTGTACAGTTGATTGCAATTCCAATTAAAAGTGTACAACGTGAATTTAGTCTGTACAGAACGTGTATGGCATTTTTAAAGTTTACGAAAATTTAGAAGTTTACGAGGAAAAATTTGAAACAATTAAATCATCCTCATCCACGTGTTTTGTATGCACCAGTACGACGTATAGTGAGAGGTTTATGAAAATTAAATCATTTATATTATTCCTCTATTGATTTTATAGAGAAGGACCATTGTTTCGTTATATCTATGGCAACATCTTTACTTCAATTAGTGGCTGTGTATGCAGAAACCTGCCTTGATTATTTAGATAGCATTTTATTTTCTATTTTAGTTTTGTAAAATGTGACTTAAAAACATCTTGAATCTACCTCGAAAGTGTGAAAAGGAAATCACTAAATGATTGATGGGATTTGAAAATGAAATGCATCTGTAGAATTACTAATGTTTTACTTACGAGTTATATAACTAGTGTTTTTGTTCTAAATATGCCAGTAATGAATGAAAGTACATAGACTGTATGTTTACCACGTGTAATGAAAGAGGAAACTGGAGAAATCCCATTAGTACCCCTAGTGGCCACACCCACTGACTGATCTATACTTAACCAAAACTGGAGCTATGAAATCAAGTTAAAAGAAAAATAACTTCTTCTTGACACATCCTGAATCATTCCCAGTTGATTAAACCATATTTGACAAGTCCAAATGAAAAAGCCTAGGAGTTAGAAGACAAACAAACTTTTGTCAAATTATAGAAGGATTCGTCATTGGAATCACAATGTAAAATAATGATTTTTGCGTCAAAACGAGGTAAATCTCAAAATAAACAGAGTTTACAGTTAATTTATATTTTTTGTAAGACAATATGTCAGGCCTATTATATCTTTTAACACAATATTGTTAATATAGCCCCTATAAAATTTTGAAGGATTAGAAGAGTATCTATATAAATATAATAGTACCGTCTGTTGTATGTCCATGTAACTACTTCTATATAAATATAATAGTACTGTCTGTTGTATGTCCATGTAACTACTTCGCAGGGTGTGGATGGAAATTGTTTAGGTCCACGCGGGGATGCATACAAATTTGCAGTCTTGCGGTTTTTATGGACGTTTTTGCGTTTTTTTTTTACCACCACTTCGACCCCTGTAGATGGGTCTTACCCAAATTTGGCATGGAGGTTCATTGGGTCCATGGGGAGATACGTACAAATTTTCAGTTTTGCATTATATGCCTTGCTGGTTTCATGGGCGTTTTTTACCACTACCTCACCTTCTATAGATGGATCTTCACCAAATTTGGTATGGAGGCTCCTGGTGGAGATACATACAAATTTTCAGCTTTATGGACTTCTTTGCGTTTTTTACCACTACTTCGCCCTCTGATGATGGATCTTCACCAAACTTTGCATGAAGGTTTGTTGAGTCCATGCGGAGATACATGAAAATTTACGGCTTCACATTTTATGTTTTGCAGTTTTTTTATGGGCGTTTTTTTACAATTACATATAAGGTAAGCATCTTTTCATGTCTTAACATAACCTTTCATTAATCATGAATTTACGTAACTTCTGTCCAGGGGACGGATACTATAGCTAATAGAATAATAACATTTCAATAATGCTATATTCGTCATATCCATTGCTGAAGATACAATTCGCTCAAACCAGAGCTGTTCAGGCCGTTTCGGATACAATGAACTCAATACTGGTCGAAACACTATTTATATAAGCCATTTGTTACAACGACAGTTGTCATGGTGTGAATGCCTTTTAGAAGCCGTCCAAGCATGATTATATTTAATTATACTAGAAATTATGTTAGGCCTATTATATAAGCGAGCAGATCAGGCCTGCTTTTTGGGTGGAGATGGCAAGTCAGGTACTACAATCTAATTTTGTGGTATTTTTGAAAGTATGGGTTCTGACAAATTACAAACCAAATTTATGTAGAGTCCCTTTGGTGGAACATATTAAAATGACTTCAACAAAACAACATTGTGTGTGTGTGTGTGTTGGTTTTTTTGGGGGGGGGGGGTATTTAGTTTCAATGGTAAATATTTACTAAATCATATCTAAATGCCTGTCACTTTTTTTTTGCTATACACTACGGGAGCATGATAGAGCCACCTTTGAACACTTAGAGTTAAGTGCTCAGCCTAATTTGCATATGCTCAAGTGACTATTGTAATTTCCATGACACATTAAGGTGCAAAATCTTAAATTCTGTGACCTATAAAAAGGAATTCTTGAAAGTTAGGTTTC